CACTATTCATGCATGGCAACTCTGACAGAAGCACTACCTCATTGCGTTCGATACTGCACAGCGCAGGGCGACAAAGAAGATCAGAGGTTCGCCCAGATTCTCCTACCCACAAACTAAAAGCTCTCAAAATTTGCAGTGGGTGTTATGGGCATCTAAGAGGCAATCTCATAACGGTGTACCAGATTCTGAGAAACCACAAACACATATATCATTCTCTTTTAAAACTCAGTCAAACACATCTCCATGGGTCGTCGGTTTGAGCTGGTCGCGTAGTACAGCTGTCTGGAATGCTGACGAAAGGTTTACTCCATCTGAGTGTCCCAGCCTTGGAACCCCTTCCAGTCACATGTCATTAAAGCCCCTAATTTATCCCTTTTCATAAAACATCTTGACAATACTGACATATTTATACTGCGTGATATAGCCCGCGACTATCAGATGATGGCATTAGTGCGCAACAAACAGTGGACGGTAACAGAATCACCCCTATACTCCAGGCGGGAATACTCGCTTATGTGCTACTCCGAACCCCTTGATTATTCATGTATTTCACACGTTCTTGTACTGACACGGTTTTTTGATTTTGCGACTCCCACCCTCACCATTCCATGGGCGATGTGAATCATTCGCTTTTATACCCATCTTAATCCGGTGCTCCATTGCCCCCTGTGTACTGCCTTCTGAAGATGCATAAGGAAGTTGTCACCTTGCGCCTGACCGTTTCGCTCATTAGCGCACCGTATCAAAAATTGGCGTAATGGGCAGCTCAAGTTATTGAATATATTCGGATTGAACTTGCCAGATGCAGTTCCAAGGCTATATTCGATTTTGTCAACAAACAATGGGATCTGAACATGGAAGAAAAACACACGGTCTCATTCTGTGCTCCTCATTATTCACCATTGTTCACTTAGAAGCTACTCTGCACATAATAGGCGTACATGCCACCAAAGTTGGGTTTCTAGCTCACCATATGAAGTCAGTTCTAAGTTAATGCACGAAGAACATGCAACCTAAGTTCGACGACACACTGTATGAGCACATTGGTTTTGTAGTCGTGCGCAGTCCACTTGAACTCGTCCTGACTGATATCGTCATGAGTCACGTGAAAAACATTAAGCTGCGTCCTCGCATACAAAACCTGCATTAATATAATTGCTACCGTAATAACGCTTCATTCGTTTTGGACGCTGCCGAACAAGCAGGACCCCCCCACTTTGTGCTCTAAATAACTGCCATCCCGCGATCGAAATCCTAGCTGAATACGTCTTTTCTGATGATTTCCATTGTTCGGATGTGAAGGTAGAAGAAAACTCAAACGGCACACTTGATCCTCGTTTTGTCTGGCATGTTTCAAAGTTCGGACACTCATGCAGAATGCACAGCAAGCCGGTCTAGCGCGCACCCTAGTTCCCTAGATATTGATGTCTGCTGTCTTTCAGAATCCCGGTTGCAAGATCCCAGCACTGTGCTTACATTGACATCCCCCACTGACCATGAAGCCAGATATTACCTGCGTCTTTATGGAGATCCAGAAGCAGCCTCAGCGGGTTTGTTTGGTGTATATACGGCATTAAGTGGAAAGGCCGAGACGGCACTACTGGACTGGTTCCCGATTAACAGCCGACTAAGTGCCGTTCCGCTTCGGGGTTCATGTAGAATCAACAGGCACCGCGAAGAGAGACGTAACTTGTTTGTGATCTCCGTGTACGCAACGTGGCGTCCCCCTTTCTCAACATAATCGTGGTCTCAAATTGATCACATTATAATTAGCTCCAGATGGCGCGGCAGCGTAATGGACTGCAGGTCTTTTTGGTCCACCTTCGTTGACGCAGATCATGCTCTGATCTGCGTGAAAATCTGTGTGTGTTTTGGAGGATCCCGAAACACGAAGCACCGCAAGGTTGATATAAACAGACCAACTGATTCCTCTGTCCAGGCAAGCTATCAGTCTTCATTTGCATAGGCACTCAGTTGCAATCCACCGCAAGAAGTGGAACAACACTGGGATGGTATACGGAAAGTGATGACCATTTCCGGACAGTCATGCTGTGGCATAACTCGACGCCCCTTGAAGGATTGGATCTCTACTCGTTCTCTGGAGCTGTTCGAACGCCGCAAAGATATCCCGGCGGAATCAGATTGCAACGAGCGGCGCCGTTCTGCCAACCGGCTACTCAAGCAAAGCGTACGCAAGGATCGCGAGACATGGTGGTCTGAACCTGCTTTAGAGATGGAGACCGCTGCCCTCTCTGGTAATACTCGCAGGCTCTTCCAACTCATTCGGTCCACTGGCCTCAGGAAACCTGGTGTCATTGATGTCATTGGTGAGGTGGATGAGTCTCGGATCACCAACCAACAGAAGTGTATGAACCGCTGGGCCGAGCACTTTCACTTGCCATTCAACTGGCCTCCACCATCCATCAGTACATGCAGTACACATTGTTGTCCACCCTGGCTCGTCCTTCTGAATCCACCAAGCGAAGCGGAAGTCTGCCTCGAGATTCGACGCTTGAAGCGGTTCAAGTTTGCCGGCTTAGACGGACTTCTTCCGGAGCTATTGAAGTACAGTAGTGTGGCGATCATTAACCAGCTGATGGCGCTATCCACAAAAATCTGGAATGAACAGAAAGTGCCTTCCTCTTGGGGCGAATCAGCCATTGTCCCAATATTCAAGAAATGCGCCCGCACTTCATATGCAAATTATCGCCGGATTAGTCTTATTTCGGTTACCTCTAATCTATTGGCATCCACAAGGATACATTGATAGTGCTTGCTAATGACACCTGTAATTGTTTGAAGCCAAGTGGCAGCACTACTCCGCACCTATACGGGTCACCGAAGACGCACAATAGTGGAGTATCATTTAGGCCGATTCTATAAATTGTAAATGCGGCGCAGCATAAATCGGCTCGCTGGCTAGTGAAGATATTTTCGCCCCTGCGACAACTGTCTAATCCATATACTTAAAAATTCTTTTCAACTTATCGATGACTTAGATGACATCAGCCTCTCCGATAAGGTCATGTGTTCCTTGGATGTGGAATCTCCATTCACCAAAGTCCCATTACAAAAACTCTTGATTACATAAGTGAACTAGCTAAGCACTCTTGTTATTCGCTACCAATTACAGTCGAATTTCTAAAGGAATCCTTACTTCTATGTACAGCAAATGTTGGCTTCCAATTTCAGAACACCCCATATCGTCACATTGATTGTGTGGCAATGGATAGCCCACTAGGTTCTGTACTTACCGATTTCTTCATGCTGATGATAGAAAGAGACATATCCGCAGAAATAGCCCAATTATCGTATTATAAGCTTTATGTGAATGACATATTGGCCTTTTGTTCATCGGAGCAGCAGATTGTTCAGGTTGTGCAGCAACTCAACTGTGCACATACCAAATTGCGGGTCACCTGCGAAGTGGAACAGAAGAACTGTCTGCCATTCTTAGACATCCTCATCAGTCTCAGAGTTGAGGGCTCTGTAAGATGTCTATCTGCAGGAAAGTAACCTGGTCCAACCAGTACTTGACCTTCACCAGCTTCACAACATTGTGGTACAAGCGGACCCTAGTGAAAACTTTAGTTATTCGTGCTAGAGGAATATGCTCGGCTGATTGTCTAGCCGAGGAGCTATAGTTAATTACCACAACACTCATTGCAAATGGTTATCCCGGTAGATTTATAGAGAAACACAGCCAACAAGGAGATTCGAAAGATTTGGTGCACACGGCAGCCAAGAAAAAGTTCTATATCGAGCTGCCTATCAAAGATGAGTTTACTGTATTGAAAATCACGAAATGTTTAATCTCTGCTACGCAGAGAAGTTATTGTGCTACTCAGGTTGTGATCATCAATAGGACCTGTAACTTGCCGGTGCCTCTAACGAAGGAAGCTTAACCGGTAGGGGCCAACTCATACTGCATCTACAAATTCGTGTGCGACTGCGGAAACAGTTCCATGGGCCGAACCAATCGGTCTTTGAGTTCCCGAATAAAGGAGCACGTGCCAATGTGGGTTCAAGGTGAAATTGACCAGCATCCCTGTCCCACCGAAGTTCCGTGCTTTCGCAAGCCGCCAGCTTCCTACTGACTACGCGTCACCGGATAGAGCTTGGATCAGCGTTCACACTTGTATTACGTCATCCTAATCCCCGCTTCCTCCGTTTCGCCGAGACCGTTGCGATAATCCGGATGAAACCGGCCCTGTGTGTTCAAAGCAATTATTTGTCAGCTTAAGACTAACGTGGACATACGGGTGGAACTTCCGTCACTCATTTTGCACCTCATGCTTATTCAATCACACACATATTTAAGTATATAGTTGCATACCGGTGATTGTTTGTGGTACTGAGGAAACATTACGAAATGCATGCATCCACCAGCTTTCGTCTTCTTAGCGTGCTTTTCAAGTTTCTGAAGGGAACTAACTGCTTAAATTATAGCTGTTTTGTCTCAAAGCTGGACAGGCCCGACTCGAGTTACCACCACAATTATTTATCTGTCTCACTGTACTTGTGTAGTGAGTAAATCTAGCTAACTGAGAGAGACTGCCCACAAAGACTTTAGAGCATAATCCGGGGAACCTTGTGGCGAATCGTCCTAATCCATCCGCTACTTCATTTGCCCATCCTATCTGTGAAAACTTATGTGAATCATTTAATATAATTAACCGACAGATTGCCGCGCGTCTGCTTCCGTTTGCTGAGGCTTCGTCAATTATTTGGCTGAAAATCACTTCGTGTAACAAGACCGATTTCATCGCCACTCTCGCCTTGCTTTGTTTGGCCTGGTAGCCACATTCCTCGAAGCAGAATATCGACCAGCATCAGATGGAATTTAAACATTTTCACTTTAACAAGGACATTACACGTTGAATGCATTTGTATGCAACCGAACCATTCCACTAATTGTGTATAAAGGACTGAAGTTTATACGCGAAATCATTGAATTTATAGTATCATGTCCAAAGCTTATTCTTGCCATTTGGTATGACCAAATGATCCTTGATTTCAAAACAGTCAAAACTCACATAAACGAGGTGTTGTGTCAATACAAATTCAAACATTTCATGCACGTAAAATTTGAGAGGAACACTGGTGAGTGCATGTGACAGATCAACGATCGGTTGCTCAATCAGCTACTGCGTTCCACGGTGTCCTACACCAAATTAAAACTTCGTATTTGTCTTCTGATACCTCTTTTCCTTCGTGGGGAAAATAACCACAGGTATGACCGTTGTGTACCTGTAAGGAAACGGAAGACGTAGATGGCACATACAAGCCCTTTAAAACGATGCACACGACAGGCGCGTGCACCTGAACAATAAGATCATCAGCCTTATGGTGAATGCGGACCATCTTGATATCAGACGCACAGAAGAATAGGTTGTTTTGCCATCCGATTTAATCCCAATGTGTTGGGTGTAACTGTATGGTAGTGTGAAAATGGGGCTCATAGGAAATGACGGAGTTTAATCGATAAGTTGTGAAATCACGGAGATTACAACTTTTATCCCAACGGCTTGCACGGTCAAAAAGTCCGGGCTGTAACATCTGACGAATATAGTAGTAAAAAGCGGTCACTAAATTAAACAGTTGAAATAGCCTACCCATGTCTACGACGACAGTTATTTAATTAAACATTTCATCCATGGAATATCCAAAGCTATTTGCTGAATTGTTTCATTTGTGAAATGCATGCCATACATGGGGAAGGATTCGTGCAGTGTTGCACATAATGTCTGCTGGATATGATGCAAGTTGATTAGGAAATAGGAAAAATTCGACCATATTACATTGTGTCAACTCAGGCAGGAATGAATATCTCACAAGTTGCCAAATATGGTAGACAATACGGCAGTTGCAAGTTCAGACCGACGACGTGTTGTCGTAGAACAAAGTAGCCGCTACTGGTGATACAAGTCACAAATCTGAATTTTTAACCATTCGGATAGGTGTTGCTACCCGATCTCAGTGGTCTAGTGAGTAACACGTTAGCGGTTACCACACAGATTTGGACTTCTGTTCCCAGCTTCCGATATTGCAATTTGAAAAAGATGAAATCGGTCGTAGGACTTAGTGTTTGGAGTAAGTAATCCCGAAACCTATCAAGTTAGAATTCTATTTTCTCAGAAGCCCACTATCTATGCTTTTGAGTAAATCTCGCAAACGCCACATCAGTATGTGATGTGGCGTTGATGATGAGGTTTCGGTAACTAGGAAAGTAGGGTGCCTAGGGGGTGTCTTCAGACTGATCCAACTAATTTTATGCTACAGAAATCAAGGATATTTTCAGTGGTTTTTGTGTTGGAGAAACTCGAGTGCTGAACCAGATAGACATTTTTCCTTCTGAACGATTCGTTTAACAAGTGCCTTTGGTGTGCACATTGTTGGACGCTTTGCTTGAGACTGGTACGCGGTAGAAATGCCGTGTGTCGAATGAACTACATGTTGCTACTTTAACAAGCAAGCTAGCATGTTTAAACCCACGAACTGAATATGGTCACGGTAACTGAACAGCTGTTTTATGTCGTTTTAATGCACAAGAGTGAAGTGCATTCGGCGGGGAACTTCACCAACACAGATTCGCCGACAGTAGCGTGAACCCATCGAAAATTATGACGGCTATGGTCTCGAATCGGTACACCACATGAGCATACATGCACTTGAATCATAAATGACAGAATCACATAGGCACAGATTCACTGTTATCGTGACGTAATGCAAGCGGATGTATGCGCTTCAAACTGCTGAACTTGTTAATACACCACCCTAGTCAAGGGAAGCCGGTTGGAATGTTATGAATGAGAAGGTCGCATAAATATCATTTTGACCAAAAACTTTTTTCTAATATAATTTATTGTTCTCGTAGACACTGGTTGCCATGAGATATGCACCGTACCGGTGAGCAGTGGGCGTATGTTCTCGCGTGGTTCGTAAGTACTCTGTTCAGGTTTTAGATATAAAGGAGTTGTGATATGAACGTTATCTGTGCACTTGCTCATTTGCTGACGTCACTGCAGCTGCGGAGTCCAAGAGCGCTATAATTTTTGTTCTTGGAGGTGGAATACGCAGTATTTGTAAACTTGTTAGGGTTAAAGGGTGAATCAACGATGGAGAAGACAACCAACCAGCCTCCGTGTTGCATACGAGTATCACGCGTATTTCCTCCACTTGTTACATCGTCGAATCGCAAATTGATAAGCGCCGAGGAAGTCAGGATATTCATCCATTCCATCCCCTACATTTCATTTGGTATTCACTTACCAGAGTGGAACTGCGAGTACGTGGTGGTTATGAACATCCTGCAGCTATTCACAGCTACATCAAAAATCAGGTCCAGAGGGGTCACACTTGGCAGGGATTCCATCACTTTCTCACAATAAGCCACCGATTGGGGAGTGGTTCATCTCTTTCCTACCTGCGGTCCTTAATGGATTTTCACCGTGAACCCTCAAAAATACATATGAGTGGGTGCGGCCAAATATTCTCATATCTAGGTACTGGATGAAATTTGTTTTTAAATTATGGAATCGAAACGCATTACATTTAGCAAGAACATCGTCCCGCTCCTATGGTTCATCTTCCTTGGTCAACTAATCATGTAACGACTAGGTTAGTGATGCTGAACTCAAGTGGATAGGGACAAAGTTCAAACGCTTTTTCCGCGACAATGGAACATATGGGCACTTTTGTTGGTCCACATGGCTCCAATGTGTAAAATGGACGTATTTAGTGAATTTCACGATTCTGTGTAGTTATTCTCAAATTCTTTTCGGAAGTCGTGTTCTCATGACCAGATTGTAAGGATATAGAATGTGTGACATCAAACCGAGTTAAAACGCAATAATCAGTAATTCCCTAAATGTACATGCAAAAACCAGTGATCTTCTGGCCTCGTTCCACCGGAAAATCTACCAATCGATATACCATACTCTGGTTTCACTTCTGGAAAACGTTGCAGGTTGATCACGTGCTTGTAATTGCAGCTCATTTGTATATCTTGAACTGTGAGAGCTGCCTCTTTCCATGGTTGACTTAGAGTGTACGCAGAAAATGTGGTAGTAAGCTATGAGAGCAATATTGTAGTAACACACCGCGCTATTTTTAGTCTCTATTGCAACCCGAGGTATCTGAAAACCACCTCATTCCAATGGTGCACACGTTGCTATATATCCCATTGCTCAGTCGATAAAAGTACCAATTTTATGGGGTGCGGCTTAAGTACACTATTGGTTGTGTCTGCATTCTAATAAATCACGACATAGTGATCCAGGCGGCCTAAGAGCCTGAAGTCGTTATAATGAGAGATCTCTAAAGCCGAATCACTGGAACACTGGTTGCCCCTGCACTGATTGCAAGATAACCTATGGAGATGTTTGCATCTGTTTGCAAATGTCCTGCCACCACAGCCGCAATAACTTAAAAATCACAAGTATTTGACCAGCTTTGAAGACACGCATTGTAACAGCCATTGGTATAGAACAGGTTTGAGCATGCCAGAGACGAGCAATTTTATTTTTTCGGAATACCTTAGCAAATGTACACATAAGACTGTCTCATAGCAAGACTGTGAGAAAATCTGGATCTGTTGTGAAACTTACGAGAGAATGAATAAAAATATGCTTGCCGCCTAAACCAGAGAACGGGTTAGCTTACCAATATTCTTGAAATGTAAGCTGTCCGATCATCTTCCAGAGGGACAAGTTCTGCTTTCAATTATGCAGCAGAGAACGCACCATATAGTTCATCACGCCAACTCATCACTAGGACTGGATTGCCTCAGTTTAGTTTACTAAATCGTTTTGTCTAACTGACTGTCGATGAGGATGCTGGAACAAATGCCGTGTGTTAGTGCCTCGACCGTAAGTATCAACCTTAGGTTTCGTTGCATCATTATTAACCATTTATGTAGAAGTAAGATTATGCAAAAATGCAGAAGAAAGAGTAGGAGCCAGCTACTGGCAGTGGTAAATTCGTAAAACATTAAAGAGCAACCGAATTCGCCTTGCCAATGACTGCTATTATAGCCAATATCCTTTAGACATCGTAGTTTTCGGCTCACCTTGCCGACGACACACTTTCCATCGAGTACTGTCCGAGCTACGTAGAGTGGGTCACCGTATTCCGATACTCCACCGACCAGTGCATTCCGTGGTGTGTGACCGCGCTGGTCCTTCTTCCACTGAAATCTGTGGTGTACCCAAGGACATTGGCAATTAATTAAAGAAACGTTAACTAAAGAAACTATATCTATCATTTTACTGTGAGGGCTGTTCAAAGCATGGTTTCCAAGCAAAGATTTGCAGTGACAGGAGGTATGTGAATTTGTCGCAAAGCAAATAGAAACGATGTCCCCCTTTCATTAAGCGAATGTTCAGAATATTGTAGGAAACCGATGTTACCAACTCACTCACGCTGGACATGTGTTGAAGCCAGTGGCACAGAGGACTTCAAAAGTTTTCTTCGGATGAGAGTTGCCTCCATAAGACACGTATACCATTCCGTCCGCAGGCACCAGACTACCTGGAATGACGTCACCGCGATGCTTTGCTCGCCCAACATAGACACCGTCACCAGCGCAGATGGCTCCTTTGGGGACTCCCACGCCATTTGTTGGCACCCACGAGAGCGTCATTTGATAACCTTTGCCACATCTGGCCATGTGAGAATGACTGGAAATGTTCAACGAAACGACGTCTGTTATGATATACTGCAGGTGAGAAACCTAGTGAAGCAGTCGAAAAGGAGTGAATTCTGAGCCATGTGTGTCCTACACTTATTAGTAGGTTTCTTTGAGCAGTTACTTCAGGTAGTCATGAATGGTATGATCCTGTTATACTTCATATAAATTGATCATCCCAGGTTAATTTAGCAAAATTGAGCACAAATGTTGCTAAACATTAGATGTACAAACTACTTCGTGCTAAACACCTGTGCAAATCGCTTACTCCGCGGGTTGGCTATCCGCATCGCAGGTTTCGCTGGGCTCTATAAACTTCAGTGATCGATAAACAAATGGAGCGCACCAATACTGAGACTTAAGGAGCGATAGGCAGACACGTTTGCGATGGCTGTGTTCCACTCTTTCTAGATTAACCAAATCGGTGAATGGTGCATCATATAAGATGAACCGACCTGACAGGTTTGCTCTTGATCTCAGAATGTTCACATGTTACCTGTTTGGTGATGCGGGTTCCATCTTGTGACTCCCATATTAGGACACTACCTAACCTGGATTGAAAATGACAGTAAACAGGAAAACCTGGGTGTAATTTGGTGAGACTGAGAGCAACCTGCACTCAAACATTAGACGTCGCATGGAGTGCGCTTTACGTCCACCGTGAATTTGAGCCGAATAGGGATTTACGAAACCATAGGTAGAAATTTAGGGGAAAAAGGGAGCAATTCGGGTTTTGCGTGACTCATCCGCCTATTTACCTGAACACATAAAAATGAACAATGAATTGATAAGGGTTAAGAAGCGCTTGTTTACAAGTGCAGTTGGGTAGTTTGGCGAAGATATCGAAATAATACTAATAATATAACAGTTAGTATATTAATTATGAAAAGAAGTATTTATCATTCGTTTTGTTGTAGTCTTGCCATCTGCGTACATTCAAAGCACTCACAGTTACGTTCAAATTAATCCAAGGTACACTACAGGCGTTGGTTAGAGCCGTAGTGCTAAGTAACCAAGTGCAGGTGAGTGGGTGCGTCATCCAACCGTCGTTTAGTTAGTTGCTCTCGGTGCAGGGACGACCGATTCAGGGAAAGCAGCTCATAGGTGACATACAGGAATGGAAAGGAAATTTCTGCGGCACTCCTGACGGCTAAACGTTTCTGTGAGTTTCAGTCGGTGATAGCTCAGGTTTGTATTACTACTGAGTTGCAGTAAGGTGTATCACACATGATTCGGGTCGGGCAGAATTAAGTATGCCATCATCAGGTCGCCTCGCAGTCTGCGATACCGACCGCTGAATACCTCCAATCGTTTCAGCCTTCGCTAATGTGTAAGATTGCGCATTCCAACTACGCACATAGATGTCCGAGGTTCAGACTGCTCATGTGCATTTAGGTCGTGTTTCAGCTATGGATGCCAGGCTCGAATTGAGTGTTCGACATTGGGCGTACATACGCAGGATTTCCCACTGCTACTTTTTGGATAAGACTGGTGAGCACATAGTTTGGTTCGCGTTATTTTAATTTTTGACTCAAAGGGTTGTATCACATATTGAAAATTGGGTAGCAGGTCGCCAAGGCAGTGTTGGCAAAAGTTAAATTTGTTCAGGATAAATGCAAGATGGAGGAACGCTGCATGTCCACGATGTATAGAGGGAAAATGCTTCGGCAATCTAGTCAAATGTAGTCCGTGGCTAGCTTGAACTGGAGGACTATGGGATAAATATTATGGATGAGATGCAGTGGATCGTGATAAGCGTAATTTCGATTCGCAAGGATTGGGTTTACCGTGATGAGATCGCCCTGAATACCTTGGTAGTAACCGCTGTATCGGTCATGAATTTGTTGGATGAGTCCCCCGGAAGTTTGAAACTAGCCCCTGAAGATTTTAGTCGCTCCACATCGCTAAGCACTAAGCGCATCAAAATCGTGCTGGCGCCATGAAGGCCAGGCTTGGATAGTGTTTCCCAAATCAGTCCGTACATTGGCGTTCATTATTGTCGGTTAGATAGATGGCTCGAACTTCCCGAACGTGCTCCATAGAAGGACAACGTGCTGACTCTTTTTCTCGATGATTTTTCAGCCTCGTTCGAGCAACCATAGCCATTCTGAATAATTACTTCCAAGTCGCCTTGCTGTGTGGTACGTTGTAAATGCTGTTTTCAAGTCAATAACCGAAAGTAGGCTGATTACATATGCGCAAAACTCTGTATTTCACTACGTTGGCCTGCGGACTGTTCTCGGATGACCAGTTCTTGTCTCTGTCTATATTTATTTGCAGTGTTGTGTGGTCGCCCAGCGTATTCATGTTATAACAGATCTTGATAGGGTCTGTTTTTATTGGGTAGTTTGACTGGTGTACACCAGCGAGATTGTTAATGAAACTAAGTATAGACGTAGCCCAAGTACTGATCTAATTAGGTCTGAGAAAGCAACGCGAACTCCCACTCAAAATTGTAATTAAAAGTAATATATGCCGGACAAAATATAGTTTTCCATTTGTTTCTGCTATCTGAAATATTAATGCGATTTATCTGCCGAAATCACCTTATGGCTGGGGGCTCATATAAACTACGACGTGCGTGGTTTTCAGATGACTATACCTTTTCCCAGCCAATTGAACTCATAACATTTTCAAATTCCTCCTTAAGGAAATCAAGTTCCTGCAGAAATCATTCAAGCAGGTACGTAACGCTTTCAAGATGAATCCAATGGGCGCAAACACTACTAAAAATTACATGCTGTTCGTTGAGCGACAATTCTCAAATAACCACATATTACAACAGATGAGTACACAGAGAGAGGGAAGATATTTGCGGATTTGGATTTGGTCACTCAATGAACCGTAACATTTAAAAACGTTCGTGACCTCCGGATTCTAGTTGAAAACGTTGTGAACCGTTTTGATATATTTCTGAAGGAACATGGTTTTCTTAAGGAGGAATTTGAAAGCGTTATAGATTAGATTCATTTGGCTAAGGAAAACTACAGAAATATTCCTGGATTACAGCTGAATTAGTATACCGAATTCGCTGATATGTATACAAAGAAACAGTTTCTAACTACCTTCGGACCGTTATCCGAAGACAGTTTACTTCACACTTGATGCCGCTGTATTGAAATTGGTGGTAATGTCTTCGGGAGAATGGAATATTTCAAAGGAATCTGAGGGTGTGGAGAATTGAGCACGTAGGCTCTCACCATTCTCTGGCACTGTAACTAACGGAGTTCACAGTGTGATGCGTTGACCTTGAATATCGCTACCAATTTACGTAGTGAAAGATTAGTCACATTTTGTTGAGTTGTGTAATGATTCCTAGTGAATTTTTAAATTTGTCGAGTCTGAGAAGACGCTGTATAACCAGATAAGTTGTTTGTTTCAATTGTTAGCCTAGGCGAGCAAATCTTTGGTTTGTCGTGCAACAGTGTGGGAATAATAAACACTCGGAATTTGTTCAAAAGCAGTAGAATTCTGCTCACGTCCTACTTCGGTCCTAATACTTGAGCTGCGTTACAACAAAAATATTAGTGTCGCATCGCGCTGGTCAATCAGCACATGAATTCGCTCTTAAATCATGCGCAGTTAAGCTAGAGGTTTGGTCGAAATCGACATCGTGCGAAGACGCATGGTAAACAAAACAAGTGTAAAACCGCTTAAGTCACAGCAGATTTTTCTCTGGTGTGAGGGTACTTCAAAGATGACAAACAAAACTGTGATAACGGGCATCTGAACTGAATTCAAAATTAACAACTCAAGTAACTGTCTGAAATGTGGGCAGTCTAAAGTCATAGTGAGCCTGTATACGTCGGGAGTTTGAAAGTCGGTATACATTAATTGACGATCAAAGGGATTTTGCTGACAAAGTCCACCAGGATTCAGCACAGTACACAGGCAGTTTTCATATAGGATTGTTTCGTATGCTATTGTTGAAGCACAGTCAAATACAACGGAAAGAAATAGGTAAAGTGAAGGTTGGTGTAAGGACTAGTGACTCCTACCAATCTGGGAAAAGGCAAAGAAGGTCTGCATTCATTCGAGCAGCTACCGCGGTGTGTAACTTAACTGAGAGTAGAATATATACCATCACCAGAACCAGCCTGGTCTTTGGTGTACTCGAAGCATGAAACGCATGTCATATATAACAACCCCAGCCCGGAGAGACGTCATCACTTTTGATAGAACATTCGCTTTGTTAGATCTATTGCTAAATTAGTGGTCGGTGTACAAAATCTACAAAAATGTAACCCAAATAGTAGTCAGTATACTGGAAAGTACCTAGTAACTGAATGCCACCAGTTCCTCGGTTCATTGCTATGTAAGGCATTAATCCGGTTGTTGTATATGTTTGCGATTGAGTCGAATATCGGCAGGTCAGGTTGACATTTGAGGTGTTGTTTTGCTCGCCGAGCTGACCAAGTTTGTTGCAGATGTTTCACGATCATTCGAGACGACATCTTCAGTGTGTAGTGGCAAATAGGGTTTTGCAATAACTGAACTTCAGACAATTTCGGAAACGTATACTGACAGCGACATAGCTTAGCCACATATACAGTTCAGACGTTAGTAATTAAGCTACCTCATGTTCCTTGATTTGCTGGTGGATCTGCTTGGCTGTTTGGAAGCTTGTTGGGATATAAGCCGGTTTCTTTTAATTCCATTGGTGAATAGTCTTACTGTCAACGTGAACGTACCAGTTGTGCAATTCTGTGCTCTGGTAAATTGGACCTTTCCAAGTCAATAGAATTCTGCTCACGTCCTACTTGGATCCTAATAAGTGAGTTGGGCTATAACTAAAATATTAGTGTCGCATCGCACTGGTCAATTAACACATGAATTCGCTCTTAAATCCTGCACAGTTAAGCTAGAGGTTTGGTCGTAATCTACATAGCGCGAAGACGCATCGTAAACAAAACAAGTGTAAAACCGCTTAAGTCACAGCAGATTTTTTTCTGGTGTGAGGGTACTTCAAAGATGACAAACAAAACTGTGATAACTGGCATCTGAACTGAATTCAAAATTAACATCTCAAGTAACTGTCTGAAACATGGGCAATCGAAGGTCATAGTAAGCCTGTGTACGTTGAGAGCTTG